AAAAGAAAAGGGGGAAGGGGAGAAAGAGAGGGAAAGAGGAAAGGAGAAAAGGAGGGAGGGAGGGAGGGAGGAAAAGAGGGAGGGAGGGAGGGAGGGAGGAATCCAAGAGGCAGACGAACCATAGAGGAAACTATAAAACCATGTTCAGTGGGAAAAAAAGAATAAAACTGCTCATAAGATTTGGGGTGACTTTTATTTCCTTCTTTATTTGTTTTGTTTTTTTAAGAGACAGGGTCTTACTCTGTCACCCAGGCTGGAGTTCATGGCAGTCATAGGTCACTGCAGCCTTGACCTCCTGAGCCCAAGCGATCCTCCTGCTTCAGCCTCCGACGCAGCTGGGACCACAGACACACACCACTGCACCTGGCTCATTTATTTTTACTTTTCATGAGATGGGGTCTTGCTATGTTGTCCAGGCTGGTCTTGAACTCCTGGCCTAAGCAATCCTCCTGCCTCAGTCCCCAAAGTGCTGGGAATACAAGCATGAGTCACCAGACCCCGTCTGTCCTCTTTATTTTCCAAAGTTTCTACAATGAACAGGGACCACGTTTGTAACTGGCAAACAGGGAGTCAGTGTTCCTTTTGGCAGCAGGCAGAGGCTGGAAATCTGCTTCAGGGTGTCCCTGGAAGGAACGAAGGACCAGTCTGAGTGGAGTTTCTGTCATCTAGACAAGAAACTTACAAGGGTGACTTTGAGGGGACAGAAGGTTCTGGATCAATGAGCTGAGGCTAGCTGAGGGGAAGCTGAGCTTTAAAAAAATGTCAACTTCTCTAAAAGGATTCACTGACCACTGAGAAGGAGGGAAAGAAGCCAGGAAAATGAAAAGAGCTGAAGGGTGTAGGTTCCAGAACATTCACATCAGCAAGGCTGATTCACGGTTGGCTGTGGAGGACAATGTCCGCACTGCCCAGTGCCAGCACCTGAGGAAATGCTGCAGAGAGGGGCTCCTCCTGGCTGGGACCCTCGGCCAGGACTCCAGCGGGCCGTGTGCCCACCCGCCTCCTGCCTGGCCGGTGCCTGGGAAGCCCTGTCCTTCCCCCGGAGGCTGCCACCTGCCTAGCCAGGAACACAGGCTCCGGGGGTCTCGGGGCATCTGGCCTGGCAGGCGGCTCTGTGCATCCCTTCATTTGCAGCACAGGGAGGCCTGGCTCACACGTGGGATGGGGAGCCAAGCCGGGGCCACAGCTGCTGCTCCCTTTGAGCCCTCCACGCCACAACCTCAGGGGCGGCAGCGGCACGGGCCGGGTGAGTGGGTCTCACGGTCAAACAGCCCAGGCTCTTCCAGATACTCTCAGCTGAGGCAAATATACCACCCTCTCCATCCCAGTCTCTCCCGCTGCAGAATGGGGGGACACACTGCAGCCACACCTGTGCCCGACACTGGCCTGCCACAAAGGTTACTTAACACCAGCCAGACGTCCTGACACGGGGCTGTTTGAATTTTCGTCAGCCTTCTGCATGTGTGAAGCTGGTCTCCTGTGTCTGTCTAAGAACGCCCACCGCCTTATTCCCTCTGTATCGGAGTGAGGTGACGCCTGGGAGGGCAGCCCACGTGTCTTGTTCCGTGCTGGGTCTCTGGCGCCTGGCCCAGCCACCCCGGAATGCGCTTGAGACACAAATAAGTGGGTGAATGAATGATGTTCCCAGGTGCCTACTGCCTGCACCTTGGATGGGACAGCTGCCATCTGCTGCCGCCGCTGACCTGATTTCCAGGTACCTCTGGCACAGCGCTGGGCCCAGGCACTGTCCTGAATCGAACCGAGAACATGCTGTCCTGACCACCTGGTGATGTGCTTGCTCTCTCGGAGCCTTGGCACCTGCTGGAAACGCTTCCCTGGAAGATGGCACCCCCTCCCAGGGTCCTTCCTTTCCTTAGCGTCTGTGCTGAGCTGCGTGAGGCCTCAGCTGAGGCCGCGTTAAGAGGCTGCATCCGTGGTGAGGCACAGAGCTCACGTCAGGAAGGCAGGAGGAGCTTCGCGGGGGGATGTCCACTGCCTCTCACCTGGGCAACCCCCTCTCGCAGCAAAGGATGGGCAGGCCCCAAACCAAAGATGCCCCCCTTATCCTGTTCAAAGAATTTCTGATGGGTTCACGTCAAACTCGGAGAAAAACGATCCACTTGCCGATGAACTGGGCCTGCGCCCCTGAGGAAAGCCCCCAGCATTTGGGGAAAAGGCTCCGGCTGACACGGCCAGAAACCTTAGGCTGCATCGCAAAAACGGCCTCACCCAAAAGAGGAGAGGCTGTCTGCGGAGGCTGCTCAGGGTGCTGGCACCTCTGTGACAGCAAAAGCCTGGAAACAACCCCAGGCCAGCACCGGGGCCCGAGTGCAGCTTCACATGGGTCCCCGCCCGAGGTGAAGGCAAGCAGGGATGTCTCTAGCGAGTGACGGGGAGGCTTGGGCAGGAGGCCAGGAGAGCCAGGTGGAGGCCAGTGTCTGCAGCAGGAGGCCCTTTGCCAAATCTGGGGAGGGGGATACACAAGTGTGTATCTGAACATCGGCTCCTGTGTCCTTGCTTATGTTTTAGAAAATTGAAGGATACTATAAAACATTCTTAAACCGTTCCCTTTGGGGGCAGGGGAGAAAAGGTTCCTGCAGACAGACTTCTCTGGGACTCTTATTTACAGATTTGACTGAGAACCACAAAAAGATAAACTTCAATCCACCATCGAGGGCAATCTCTACACACGTAATGCTGAATGCCACCAGTGAACCTGCTGTGAGAAACGGTGTGCAGGATACTGGAGCCATCGGCTGACCGCTGGCAAGTGGGGTATGCCCCAAGGACAAACAAAGACAGTGACCAGTGTAAGGAGGGACGTGGAGACTGGAGCCCCTGTCCACAGCTGCCTGGATGCCAGCTGCGGCCACGTAGGAAAGTAACCCGGCAGCTCCTCACCATGGCAAACACGGATGACCACATGACCCACAATTCCGCTCCCAGGGAACCACCCAGATGAGCTGAAGACGCAAGTCCGCAGAAAACTCCTATGAAATTTTCATCACAGCCAAAACGTACAAACAACATATCCACCATCCACCGGGGGATGGAGACACGAGATGGCCTCCCCACGCAGTGAGCGTGATTCAGCCACAGAAAGGAACCACACGCTGCTGTGTGCTTCCACGCCGTGGCCGCACAGATGTCATGCTCCCTGGAGGCCGCACACCACAGATGCTCCTCGACTTAATCCATCGCGTCCTAAGTCAGAAATGCGTCTAATGCTCCCAGCCTTCCAAACGCAGACGGACGGCGCCTGCTGGTCCGAGTCACCTTCCCGCCACCGTTAAGCCAGCCATCGTAAGCTGGGAGCCACCGTATGGGTGGGTGTTCATAGGAAATATCCAGAAGAGGCAAATCCATCGATGAAAGTAATTGAGGCAGCCAGGGCCTGGCGGGGAGTCGGGAGGGATGCCGGGACCCAGGCCTAGCCCACCCAGCCCACAACACAGGAAAGAGCCACAGGGAGGCCCGGAGTGGGCAGCAGAAAGGAAGAGGAAGTGTGGGAAGAGCAGCCTGAACTTTGCGGGGCCCTGGTGACTTCTGCTCAGCCAGAGAGCCCACAACCTGGGAGGACACAGCATAGGAAGGAGGCGTCTGCCCTGTACCCAGAAGCCCCTTTCCCGTGTGGGGGCCCCTCCTGGGTCTGCCTGCCATCCTCCAGTGCAGCCCTCACTCCTGCACCTGTGACCCCACCTCAGTCTCCATCTGCTGCTCAGCTCCCACGGCTCCTAGGGGGCTTTTCTGGCCTCCAGTTGAATCCCTTCCCCTCCCCATTCTCCCTCTCCCTTTCATGATAGAGAGGCCTATAGGCGTGGCCACAGCCAGGGTGGGAGCCCTGCAGGGTGGGGTCCTGGCAAGGGGGCCGATGGCCCTGACAACGCAGCCATGAGGGTCTCCGGTGTGGGGGATGGGAGCCCATGAGAAGAGACGGGAGACCTCCCCACCTCCCCCCAATGCAGGGAAAGGAGCGAGTCCTGGTAGAGCAGAGGCCCTGGGAACACCCCTGGGCATTTGCCTGTAGCTGGTCTCAGGACCCCTCACGGCCCCAGGCTCCATGCCCACCGCCAAGGGTCTGTGCCTTGTTTCAGCCCGGTGCAAGTCAGGTGGCCACGGTGGTCAGCAAAGAGAAGTGGGCAGTGCACTTGCATGCGGCTCAGGGTGAGGGGCCAGGCGCCAGCACACAGCCCACCCCAGTGCACCGAGCAGGCACACGTGGCTCACACCGGGGGCGGGGCTGCAGCAGGTGGGCTGAGGGCTTGGCACTGCGCCCATGTCACCTGAAAGGCACCTGTAACATCAGAATCAGGGAAGCGGCTGCTGGCACACGTTTCCTGGTGCCCGATGTCCCACAGGGCGGGGGGCCCCTGCAGCCAGCCCGGCTCCTGCCCTCCTCACACAGACCCCACACCTGGCCAGGGCCCAGACAGCCCAGGTGGAAACACTGCAATGACTGGTGAACGCGCCAGCACCTGCCCCCAGTGCAGAGAGGACCAGCCCAGTCCCTGGGCCAGACTGGCTCTTACCTGGAGCCCAACAGGGGCTGAGGCGCCTCCTGGGCCAAGGGGCTCCCAGCATCCAGCTCTCTGGCCTCGGGCTCCGGCTGACCTGCAGCCCTGGCCTCTCCTGGCGGCCCATTCGCTGTGTCCACTTGGGAACCTGAGGTGGGAGGCAGGCACTTGTTGGAAGTGGGGGCTTGGGGCTCCTGCCCGTCGGAGGCATCATCCGCGGGTGGGGGCGCCTCCCCCTGTCCTTCAGCAGCCCCGTCGCTGGCCTTGGCTAAGCCGGCAGCATACGAGGTGCCAATGACGCCTCCCGGGCTGCACTTCTGCAGACGCTCCACCATGTCCTCCCTGCTGTCCCCGCAGCTCCCGCAGCACACGCAGGAATGCAGGAGGCAGTTGGTGGCTGCAGCGCTAAGCTTGTGGGGGCCGCCATCCACCCCCCCGGCCATGGGCTCCGAGGCGGTCTCCTGGGTGGCGACGGCAGAGTCTGAGGAGCTGGGCGACTTGGGGTTGAAGATGACCGTGGCCGAGAGCTTCATGCCCCCCGTCCGGTGGGCGATCATCTCTGCCGTCTCGGCGTGGTCGGCACCCGCCTCCCAGCCGTCCAGGCGCAGCCGCGAGTCCAGGCAGCTGCAGGAGCTGGAGCCCGCGAGGCTGGCCTTGCCCGCGCCCTGGGCCTCGGGGTGGTTGTTGTTGGTCAAGTCCTGCTCCTTTTCCGAGGCGGCCATGTCCACCCCCGCTGCGCCGCCCGGACCGCCCTGCCCTTTCTCCTGGCGGTCGGCCTGGGCACTGCCGGCCCACCCAAATCGGCCACCTGGGGACTCGGGCCTGGCCGGGGCTTCTGCCGACCCCTCCACGTCATCCATGAAGAACACTCGATCCTCCTCATCGCTGCCCGACCGCAGGCGCACTCTGCCTGGAGAGGCCTCCCGGCCCGGGCTGCCCTCGGGTCCCGGCCTGTGTGCAGGGGACTGGCAGGCACTGGGTGGTGACAGCAGAGAGGACATCTCGTCCCCCGCCCTGTGGACCATGCGGCTGAGCTGTTCCAGCTCCTGGTCGTCGTACTGCATGGAGCAGGCCAGCTCTGCATCTGGGTCTTTGGCCTTGGCTGAGAGTGGCCCCTCGGGCGGGAGAGGAGCAGAGAGGGCAGGTGCCAGGGCAGCGGGCCCCGGCACGTCGGCGCGGATGGGGAACTCCACGTCTTGGGAAATGCAGAGGTTCCGTTCCAGCGTGTGGAGCTCCTCCTCCGTCAGCGTCTGGAGCAAATCCCTACGAATCAAGACAAACACCAGGGTAAGGGTCCCGAAAGCCACAGCAGCCTCCTCAGCCAGCAGTGAATGCAGCACCCTGGAATCTGCACCAGCAAAGGAACAACCAGTCACTGAACGCTTGCAACTGAATTTACACCAGCACGTCTCCTCCAGCACAGAACAAGGCTCGGGTCTCGCTGGCCAGCACAACGGTGTGTGAGGTGGCCGGCTGAGATTCTAGTAGCTTCTTTTTAAAAACAAGATTCTGGAACATTTTGCAGAAAACAAGAAAGCCCTGATTCTTAGGCATGTGGTAGTTGCATGAATAAAAACTCTGAGGAGTGAAAAAATACATGCTGGTTTACACACAGACCTTCATCCTTTCATTCCGCAAACACCACTGGGCTCCGGCTTTGAGGCAGGAGCCAGGTGCCAGGACACAAGGAAGAAGGCAGGTGAGCTCCTGCCCTAGTGGGCTTAACCTTGCAGCTGGGTGAGGCAGATGAGAAGCAAGTATTTACACAAACAATGATGGAACTACAATCACGACAGCTGCAACCAAAGAAAATCCAAGCCATGAAGCAGGGTGCAGCTGGGCACCTGGCTGAGGACGGGAAGGCTTCCTGGAGGAAGGGGTATCGAGGCTGAGACCCAAAGGTGCAGTGAATTCAGCAATGCTGGGCAGGAAGCACCTGGAGCAGGCTCCCACAGGCTGACTGCGGGCTGCTCATTGCTGGGAGAAGCTCCGGCTGTGTGTGTGGTCTGAGTCCCACATGACACATTCCAGCACAGCCGTGGCTGTCGTGAGGGAGTGTGATTTGCAGAGCTGGGCAGAATTTTCATAAGCTGAACCCACCCATGTGAAGAGCACCCAGGTTGAGAAGTGAGGCCCCACCCAGGACCCGGGATGCGGCACCCTGGTTCCCGCATGACACCATCCTCACTCCATAGGCCGAGCCAGGCACCAGCTCTTGTTCTCTGAAGAATGGGAATTCTCAGTCTACGCTGGCAGGATTTGTTTGCTGATGTTATATTTGTGTAGAATCTCCAGATAAAATACAGGACACCCAGTTAAATTTCAATTTCAGATAAACAACAAATATGTATTTTTAAAGTGTCATTAGAAATAGTTGTAAGTGTATCCCAAATGTTGGCCAGAGTTTGTTGTTGTTGGAAACAGATGCTCAGTGCTGCAAAGAAAAATCAGCACTGAGACAAAGGATCTCTCAGTAAGGCAATTTTACTTTCTGCAGAAAGGGTGCTCTCATTAGCCATCTTGCCATGAGACTACAATGAACAAAGGAAAAGCAGACATATTTGTCCTTTATACATTTGGGGTCGTCCTTACTGCTGTGTCTGATCTCTGTTGGTTGGAGCCAGACCTCACAATTCAAAACTGAACTTGATTGGCTGATAACTTTTTTCTAAACAGGTAAAAGCAATGGAGAACAAAAAGGACGTCTCAATAAGGAAGGGACAGGAAGTTGCTTGTGAAAGGACTTAGAAAATTAATAACAAATATCTTGGTTAAAACACAAGGACATTGAATGTACTATGTGCCTGTGAGCATGTCTAGCACACATTTCTTGGTTAAAGCACAAGGACCTAGAATGTACTTATTCTTTTATATCTAACAGCTACATAGGATAGGGCTTAACAAAGAGTCACTAGTGCAAAGCAAGAAGGCTTTGAAGAAAGTCTTTAAAAGAGACTATTATTTCTAACATTTATTATTATTATTATTTAACAAGAAAGGAAACTTTGAAGAGGAACTTTTCTACTTCCTACAGTTGTTTATCTGAAGTTCCAACTGAACTGGCCTTTCTGCTGTTGTATTGCTAAATCTGGCAATGCTATTTCATAAGATTCACCCATAATAAAGCACGTTGGCACAGGTCACTCATTCTCATGGCTGCACCATCTTCCATGGGGTAAATATACCATAGTTCCTTTATCTGTTACACCTGACAGGTTTTGGCTGTGACCTAGCATCTTCATGCATCTCTCTTGAAGAACACACAAGTGCATCTCTACTGAATGCATATATGGGGTGGGACTGCTGAGCCAGGCAGCTGGGAGCAGGCTGGACTCAGCCACGCCTGCCCACAGCTTGGCCGACAGCATGGCTTGCCCCAGGCCCTTGAGAATGCCTAGTGTCTTTAACTGAATCCTTCCTGGTGAGTGAGTCATAGCATCTTATCTTATTGTGGCTTTTCATTGTTTTAGCCTGATGACCAATGAAGTCAGTCACAGTTTATATCCTTATTAGCCCTTAGGTTTTCTCTATGTGAACTTCCTGTTCAAGCCTTTTGCCCATTACTAATTGGGTGGTGTGCCTTCTCTTACTGACTGACGGGAATTCTTTATATATTTTGGATTTGAGTTATTTACTAGATATATTCTCCAAATCTTTGGCTTGCCTTTTCATTCCCTTAACGGTGCTCTTGATGAAGTTTTAAATTTTAATAAAGTCCAATTATAACATTTTTTCTTTATGATTAGTACTTTGTGTCCTGTTTAAGAACTCTTTACCCACTCCAGGGTCACAAAGATGTTCTCCTTGACATTTTTCTCTAAAAGCTTATTACTATTATTATTATTATTGAGACAGAGTCTCGTTCTTTCCTCAGGCTGGAGTGCAATGGCAGGATCTCAGCTCACTGCAATCTCTGCCTCCTGGTTCAAGTGATTCCCCTGCCTCAGCCTCCTGAGTAGCTGGGACTACAGGTGGACGCCGCCATGACCAGCTAATTTTTTGTATTTTAGTATAGATGGGGTTTCACCATGTTAGCCAGGATGGTCTTGAACTTTTGACCTTGTTATCCGCCTGCCTCAGCCTCCCAAAGTGCTTGGATTACAGGCATGAGCCACCATGCCTGGCTGCTTTTTATTATTTTTTAAGAGACAGTCTTGCTCTGTGGTCCAGATCTGGGGTGATCATGGCTCACTGGAGACTCAAACTCCTAGGCTCAAGTGATCCTCCTGCCTCAACCTTCTGAGTAGCTGGGACTACAGGTGCAGACCACCACACCTGGCTAATTATTTTTAATTTTTATTTTTTTAGAGATGGGATCTCACAATGTTGCCCAGGCTGGCCTTGAATCCTGGCCTCAAGTGATCCTCCCACCTTGGCCTCCCAAAGTGCTGGGATTACAACATGAGCCACCATGCTTGGATTTTATTGTTTTACTTTTTATATTTATATCTATACTCTGTCTGGAATTGGTTTTTGTGTGCAGTAGTGGTAAGAACCCAGACGCTAATAGATAACCATATGAGACATTTTTTCTCATGTGGTCCTCTATTGACTCGGCCCATTTATTGGAAAGAAAAACAACCATTCCCACTGTTCTGTAATGTCACATTGTCATACACTGAGGCCTGTGTATGCATTGGTCTGTTCTAGACTTCCTACTCTATTGAATGGGTCTCAAGTCCATCCTTGTACTAGGGCTTTATAATAGAAGGTGTCTCCAACTTTCTTTTTCCTTGTTTTTTTAGAAATGAGGCCTCGTTGTGTCACCCAGGCTGGAGTTCAGTGGTATAAACACAGCTCACTGTAGCACTGACCTCCTAGGTTCAAGAGATCCTCCCAACTCAGCCTCCCAAAGTGTTGGGGTTATAGGCGTAAGCCACAGTGCCTGGCCTTTGTTCTTTTTTTTATGAAGTATACACAGCAGAAAAGCATACACATGTTCACCTGGAGACACACACAGGGATAGTCACAGCCCAATATTTGTGGAAACTACCCAAAGCCCGTGGAGAGTAGAACAGATAATGTTCTGCTGCCGCTCCTTGGCTATTCCAGGCCCCTTGCATCTCCACATGCATTTTAGAATTAGTTGTCAATTTCTACAAGGAAGGAAGGAAGGGATAGGGGAGGGGAGGGAGGAAGGAGAGAGGGAGGGAAGAGAAGGGAAGGCAGGAAGGAGAGAGGGAGGGAGANGGGAAAGGGAGGGGAGGGGAAGGGAGGAGGGGAGGAAAGGGAGGGGAGGGGAGGGGAGGAAAGGGAAAGGGAGGGGAGGCGAAGAAGAAAAGGAAGGAAGGAAGGAGGGAGGGAACCTTCTGGGATTTTTATTGAGACTGCATTGAACTCATAGATTAATTTGAAAATAACTGTATCTTCATAACATCAGGCTTTCCACTCTCTGAATGGAATTGCTGTCTAGAGCTTTAAAAATGTATGTTAATAACATAACTCTCAATGGAGGTCTCGGACATCTTTAATTTGACTTATGCTTATGTATTTGATATTTACTGGTACTACCATAGATGGTATTTGCTATGATTTGTAGGTGGTTTGTCCCCGTCAAAACTCAGGTTGAAATTTAATAACCAATGTGATGGCGTTTAAAGCAGTGTCTTTGTCCTGCCTTGCCAAATCCCAAAACATACATTCTTCTCAGCACCACATCACACCTATTTTTAAAAGTGACTACATAATTGGAAGTAAATCACTCCTCAGTAACTGCATAGCATTTCACAGGTTTCAATGAAATATTGGTTGGCTGCTTGTTTTGTTATTTTCCTCCCTTATTCCTTCCTGTCTCCATTGTTAAGCACAATTATTGGCATAAAAGAGGTTTTCAATACCCATTTTTAGACTGCATTCTAGCCCGGGCAATAAAGCAAGACTCCTGTTCTCTCTCCCTCTTTCTCTTCCTCTTTCTTTCATTCTTTTTTTTCTCTCTTTCTTTTCTTTCTTTCTTTTTTCCCAAAAAATAAAAAAATAAATAAAAATAAAAATAAAGCGGTATCTTTAAAAGGTGATTAGGTTGTTAAGGAGATGAATGCCTTTCTCATGAAACCAGATTAGTTACCATAAGAGTGGGCTGTCATGAAGTGAGGCTGCCTCTCATGCTGGGTCTCTGCACATGCCCCCTTCCCCTGCTGCTTCTCTGCCATGTTATGACAGAGCACAAAGCCCTCACCAGAAGGTAACCAGATGCAGCCACTTCATCTTGGACCTCCCAACCTCCAGAATCATGAGCTAAATGAATCTCCTTTCTTTATAAATTA